ACAATCAAGATTCTTCACTCCACATGCATGAAAGAAAGGAGTGCAGAACTTCTGCATGTAACTGAAAGGATCATTGGTCTCTCTCTCTCTCTCTCTCTCTTACCCCTCTCATGTTTTTACTCATTTGTTTTTCATTTATTAATGGATCGATTTTTACATTTCCTTGGCTGGTCAATTCTGTGTATCTTCAGTGATCCAAGTAGACGAAATAAAGATTCCTCACTCCGACATGCATGAAAGAAAAAGGAGTGCAGAACTTCTGCATGCAACTTCTGAAAGGATCACTGATTTTTAGCTCCAAACATCACAGGATTCATAAGCTGAAAAGTTGCGAAATACACAAGGAAATTGAAATTACACTCACAGACACATGGTACACAACACATGTACTCTCGTCTCTGCTCCTAAATACTCCATCCGTCCCTAAATATTTGACGGCATTTATTTTTTTTAAGCATGTTTAACCGTTCGTCTTATTCAAAAAATTTTATAAAATATGTAAAATTATATATATACATAAAAGTATATTTAACTATGAATCAAATGATAGGAAAAGAATTAATAATTACTTAAATTTTTTGAATAAAATGAACGGCTAAATATGTTTAAAAAAGTCAACGGCGAGACGGAGGAAGTATATAGGCGACGTTGACGGACTACCGTGGCGGCGCCGACATGGAGCTATCAACGTCGTCGGCGTGGCAGCGGTGGTGCGGCGAGGCCTGCTCGACGATGTGTTGTGGCACGGCGGGCAGCTTGCCGCCGCCGGTGGCGGCGGTGTCGTGCACGGGCGCGTGGATGATGAGCCACCAGATCTTGCGCAGGAGCTCCGCCGCGTACACGACGTAGAGGAAGACGACGACGGTGAGGACGGTGACGTAGATGGAGCAGGGCGCCGCGTGCGTGCTGCCGGCGATGTAGGCACCCATGAGGCACACCATGTCGAGCACCGCGATGATCTCCAGCGCCACCACCTTCGCCTCCGAGTGGTAGAACGACTCGTTCATCAGCAGGATGATGATCACCACCGACGTCACGAACGCTGTCGCGTTGAAGTAGAAGAACACGGTGTACCTTATCACATGCACATCAAACATTGAAAAGAAAGATTAATGGAGGGGTCTCGCCGTGGTCGGAGGCAAAAATTAGTTCGTCGTTGTTACCTTTGTGGGAAGTTGGACTGGAGCACCGGCGTGCCGGCGACGTGACTCTCACCGTCGTTGTGCTGCCAGAAGCCGCCGGGAGGGTTGAGTCCGGCATGGTAGGTGACGGAGGCGGCGAGCACGGCGAGCACCATCAGCCAGCCGCTCATCTCCTTGAGCCACTTCTCCCGCTTCTTCTTCGCCTCGTTCAACTGCCCCAGCGCCGCCGCGGCCGCCGCCTCCTCCTCCTTCTTGTGGTGGTGCAGGTACAGCACGCCCGTGTACGCCGGCGGCAAAGCCGCTGCGTCCCCGTCAACGCCGGGACGGGAACGATGGGAGATATCAGGACTTGCACGGGGTTCCCCGTGGCCGGCATCGCCTGATCGCCGGCGGCGTCGTCGGCACTGGCGCTCGGAGGTTGGCCATTGATAAGGTTAAGATCCATCAGTATCTCCACGGACATTGTTGGTGACGGGATTCTTGCTATCTTTCTGCAACTCGGATGATCCGATCGATCGAGCACCTGGTTGATTTTTACTGATGCTGAAGTGTTTCAGGATTTCAGCTAGGAGATGGATCTCTGTGTAAGTAAGTATATAAGTACTCCAAGCTGTCCATGCATATTGAAGCTAAGCTTGCCGACGATTGGCGCACACGGTCCATGTGGCACGTGAGTGCGAAGCGTAGAACCAACTGTCCAGGACAGGCTGTCACTGCAAGAGAGCTCGGCACATATATATATATATGTTTAGATTCATTAACATATATATAAATATTGGCAATGTTAGAAAATCTTACAATATAAAACTATATGTTTAGATTCATTAACATATATATAAATATTGGCAATGTTAGAAAATCTTACAATATAAAACGGAGGAAGTAGTTGTTAGTACTCGTTTTTTTGAAAACCTTGTTAGTACTCGTTAGGCTGCATTCTGTGTAAGACTCACGACCTCGCGTAACGTTACATACTGTAAGAGTCACGTCACGTTATTAAGATCATTCTGTTAAACCAGCATGAATGAAGTATGAAGGTTACACTGATCTCCATCTTAAAATAGTAACCAAATGTTAAAATTAGACACACAATCTATATTATGTTTAACTGAGGGAATAAACAAAAGTAATCAGTAAACACCATACATGACAAAAATGAGACTTGGCACCGTTCAAATCAGATGGGCTTATCGGCCGCACATAAATCTAGACGAGTTATTGGTGTTGTGAAACAAATCTCTAGGAGATAAGTTTCTTGTGGGCCAATCTAAATCAGAGTAGAGATAAGTTCTATCTCCTCCTAAGACTCCTAGATATACAGGGGCAGGGTGTAATATTTAAGGTTGGCTTGTACTCCAGATGAGATCTATAATGAAGAGAGAACTCCACCCTATATTTGTGTTCATTGTCTACTTCTGCAATGTTCTTGAGGGCAAAGGAATGGGCGCGGGTGTTCGACATGATATCACGTCTCTATTGTTGTAGGAGGGACAGGGAAAGGATCCGGTGATCCGCTAATAGGCGTGTTGGTTTACAACACGTTATCAGCAGCTCTTCGTTCACCGGTTTGTCGTTCCAATCTATTGCTATTAGATTGATTTTTTTTAACGACAGATTGATTTGCTCGGTTGTTCTTGGCTTGCATGTACCGGTGGATTTGCTATCTAATATAGCGCAGTGTCGTCTGCATCTCTTCATGCACGACTTCACGCCGGCACGACCTAGGGTTGGCCTTGTAACGCGCATGTATGGATGCATCTTGCGTCCTTGGATGCTTGAGATCGATCGGCAAAAAGCATGTTGCAAGCATGCATGCATCAGTATATGCATCTAATTTTCTTGTTGCTTAGGCCTTGTATAGTTTGGTTTTGCGTGTGGGTCCTCGGACTCGTAAATAATCATGTAATGGTGCTTTTAAACATTCTAATGCTTTTAAAGTTGATGCAATTCCAATAAAATAATTTAGATACGGATTTCTAGGTTATGATGCTTCCATAAATTGTGTTCACATAGTGTTGAATCTCCCCTTGGAAGCATTATGATGGGTTTATTTTCCTGCATCAATATGTGATGGTTTTCTGTGTGACATAAATATTGGGAATACAATGCTAAATAAGACCAAGTAAATAACAGAAAATCACCTAATGCATGAAAATTCTGGGAAATTGAATATCCATGGCTATGGATAAGACCGCTCTTTACTGATAAACTCCTTCATACATAAATGGTGATATTAATGTGTCTACAAGATGGAGACACGTATTCTTGTTGTACGAGATCCATGCTTTTGCCGAATTCATCACGCATATTGTCCGTTTGCGTCTTGGGTTCTCTGAGAACTGCATGAAATGATTTGGACAGATAGTGTGGGTGATTTCACGTAAAGGCCTTCAATGACTATAGCTTTGGGCATTAATGTAGATCACTCTATCCCTATGATCACACTCAAGAATAGGATTCTGAGTCGTTGAAATGTGTGAAATTAGATTATGGGCTTGGGATTCTCTGTGCCTTTCCCCTAGTGGCTTAACATCTCAATTAGAGTACAGTCGGACTACGGTCGACATTTTGCTTTCCCAATGGTTGAGAGCACACTTTTCTGATTTGGAGATAAATGATTATACCTCAATTTTCTAGCAACTTGGAGTTGCGAGGTTCAATAATTTGAGATATTTTTCACTCGGTCCGGTGAAAGATGTAAAGTGTTTTCCATGTGGTGGAATGACATTGTTCATATGGTTGCCCCTATTGTGCACATATCTTCTCAATATTATTTTGAACCTGATGTCTTGCAAGGACACCGGAAAATTGGAGCCAAATCTAGCAGAATAAGCCCGAGGGTAGATACTGTGAATATGCATGATTCCCACTTCACTATAGCACCAACAGCTAAACTTGGGTGTTGACCCAATCTCGATCCTCGCGTGGATCTAGCGCTAAATGGCCACCTTTGGTTGATGACCAATGGTTGGTAGTGTTTGTCTAATAAAGTTGTTTTGACAATGGGAGTTGTATGGCTAGTTTCGAGCATGTCCTAGGAGAACATTGGTCGGCTATACTGTTGTCTGTTGCCAAGCAGTTTATCTTTTGCTTAGTTTGGAACTTTGCATTAGATCGATATTTTCTAGATAGATAAAGTTCTTGGTCTTTCCTATTCTATTCTAAAGCTTATCTTCATGCTGGAATTGACAAAATGCTTTAGTTTAGAAGAACAATTAGTGTATGATCCAAGGAGTTACAACTACTAACACAATTCGGTGTAACTGTATTTCAGACAAATGTTGGCTATGCACTATTGTGTTTTATCGTGTTCTTGTAGTCGGTGACTACTCCCTGGTTGTGTTGGTTGATCAGCCATCGGTTGATGACCATGCTTGTCGCACGCTGGCGTTTTTCACGTGTGGACGTGTGCAAGCCATGCAAAGATTCGTCGTGTTGCATAAGTTGAGCTCGTTGTGCCAACGATGATTGCATCGACACACCCCACTATTTTTGTGGATATGTCTGAACATAATGGTTTTATAGTGAATATTGTTGGAGGTATTGATTATCTCCCGATGGCTATGTTTAGGGGACATAAGCTAATGTGGTTTGACAACTCGCTTATGAATCGTACCTAAAACATGCTGCTTAACATGAGTGACCCAATTCTAGAATTTGGTATGAGTAATTGGATCGTTCTTGCAGCCTTGTTGGAAAGCTGCCATCACCTCCGTGTTAGTGACATGCAGAATGGTGTTGCGACGTTCCGTGAAGCGGCGAATGTAATTGGAGAAGCGTTCGTCGTTGCCTTGAACGATCTGGTATAGATCCCACTGAGTGCCCGGGTGGGGAAAGGTGCCCTGGAAGTTGACGATGAACTGCCCCTTCAGTTCGAACCAACTGTTGATGGTGTACCTCGGTAGCCCCGTCACCCATGCCTGGGCGGCTGTGGTCAGCATGACTAGCAGGCAGTTTGCCATGACTAGTTGGTCGCCCCCGGCAGCTTGGATGGTGGTAGAGTAGACGGAAAGCCATGCGCTGGGGTCGGTCTTGCCGTCGTATACTTGTTGATGCCCATGGGCTTGAAGTTGGCCGGCCATCTGACTCGACGTAGGTTGACGGTGAAAGCTGGTATGCCCTCGGTGCCGTCGTCGCGGTGTGGGAGGGGGTCGGGCAAGTGGTTGCGGTAGTCATGGTATGGTCGATGGACGACAATGTGTTGACGAAAAAAATTGAACACACCGGCCTGGGAGATCTGCTTAGCTCCTGTGCAGGTCCAAAGATTGGTAAGATGCGGGTGTGCCAGTCAGTTTGATCCTGCAACTGACAAGATATGCAAATAATAGACAAAACAGCCGATCGGCTGACAAGCCGATGGAGTAGTTCCAGCCGATAGCCGATAATAGCCGATGCCGATACCAGCCGATAGCGATAGGGTTTTGAGCAATCAGCTATACGTCTAATGTAGATTCTAACACTTTAGTAAATAATGATATATAGGCAATCAACTACTGATAATAAAATATAACAATAATATTGTCCAGTATAAACCAATCGTCTAGCATTGATATGATAGAATAAGCACTGATCTGAAGGTTAAAGCATACATCGGCTGGAGATCCGATGTCATGAAATCCACAAGGTTAGATTAAACAGTGAAACCTTTGTTGTCATCGGCTAAATCCAACTTATATGTATATGCAATCCTTATGAGCCGATGCAACGTCCAGATAACTCACCGGCTGAAACCCCGATGAAACCCTTATTGGCAATCAAGAAGCAGGCTAGAGATTATGTTTCAAAACCCGACTTAGTAGATCAAACTTAACTGATGCAGTACTAAGTATGAAAAGAAACATAATATCTAGACAATCAAGCCGTTGACTAAGTTTTCAGGGTGGTAGATGTCTAAGCTAATCCCGATACCGGCAGAAACCCTAAAACGAGAAGCAGCCGATAGAGCTAAATTGATATGCTAATACTAGATTAACAGAGACATATGATAAATAGGTAGGCAAATATATCATCCAAACCAGAGCAATCCAAAAGGTCGAATGTACTGATGCAGCCTTGAACGACGCCGATGTAAACGATATAATTGCCTGGGCCGGCGAAACATCGGTGCAGCCCCGCGTCAGGTGCCAAGTCCCGCCGGACGATAAAATAAAGTAGAAAAGGTAAAAGGAGGCGATGCGCCGAATTGTATTGATCGTGAAGATAAATTACATAGACCTCGGGTGTACATATTTATACCCATAGGTTGATACAAGTCCTTCTCGGACAAGAAAGAAACTTTCCTAAAGATAAAAGGAAACTAACAAACTATTCCTAATTAATAGATAAACTGACATGCCGCATCCTTCTTGAACTCGGACTCTTCTGGATAAATTCCCTTTAGTTGATCCGACTCCATCGAGAACACGGTTGCTGGCGATTTGACGACTCTCATCGGCTGATTCCATAACTCTGAAGGCGATACTGACTCTAAGTCGATGATGACTTTGGGCTAACCAAATTTCGTTGTTAACACAATGCAGCCGTCCGGCTGGACGTCGGCGTGGCAGCGGCCAGCGTAGATGTTGTCCTCATGTATCCGTAGACGTTAGGCGTCGCGGAGCTGGCGACGCTTGTTCATGACGTTGCGGAGGTCGGCGTTTAGCCGACGTCCCACCTCGATCTTGTCGCGCAGGTCGCTGGTGCGCAGACTTGGGTGTGACCTTCCCGCTTGAGATGCCTCGACACGCCTTGACCCGGTATTTTGTGGCCGGGATGGTCTCTTGCCAGAGGAGTCGCTGGCAGTGGAGGCGGTCAGTGGTACTTCGGTGTGCTGGACAGCGGCGGCATCCACCATGGCCTTCACCTGAGCGATGGTGGTCTTGACGGCCGGGTCGCCTGGAATCGGCATGTTGTCGAGGAGGGCCTTGGCGGCTATCATGTTGTTCTGTAGCGTGGTGAAGACATCATGTTCTCCCAACTTGACTTGGAGGATGGCATTTTGGGCGAGACGGCCGCGCTGTCGCAGCTCGTTTAGACGCCGAGTGAGGTCCTCCTGCTGCTACTGGATACGGCGCTTCTCCTCTTCGTACTCCCTTTTCTCCTCGTCCGTCTCTTGAAAGACGATGAAGACCTCGCGGGAGTGATGGCTTGAAGTCCGGGTGTTGTTGGAGCTTCCCGAGTCCGAGTCGGAGAGACGTACAGACTCATCAAGGAAACCAACCCAGCAGGATCTGAGCTCCCGCGGCAGTCGAGGACGGTGACGCGGAGCGGCCGTGGTGTCCCGGGCACCGCGGGGGTTTGGACGTGATCGGGCGGCTGGTGTCGAGGTTGCCGACTTGAAATGCCTTGGCAGAGGAAGCAACGAAGTTGCTGATACCGAGAGGTGCTGGCGGTGTAGTTGTCGATGGCGTGAGTTCCCACGAAGCCAGCTTGAGGACGCCGGAGTTGGTGGCGAAGAAGTCGAGACTGCCGAAGGAGAGAGCTTGATTCCTGGAGGGTAGCGGTAGGCTGTAACCGGCCCGATGACGCCGAGGCTCACCTGACAGACCTTGCCGAAGCTGTCGGCGATGAAGTCGAATGCGCCAAAGGAGATTTGGGTGGTGGCAGGGAAGTGGTGGTGTTGGTGATCTCAACGCCGGTGGATGCCATCTCCGCCTTGAAAATAATCAAGCGCCCCCTACCTGGCACGCCAACTATCGATTTCTTGGATCGGCAATATATTTTATGGGGTGCGCTAGATAAGAAGAGATGGTGACACATAAGTTTATCCTGGTTTAGGCCCTCAGAGTGAGATAATACCCTACGTCCAGTGTGTTTAACTCTGTATCCGGTGGAAAAATGATCCGAAGACCTCCCTCAGACTGCCACCGGCGCCTTTTATACTGGCTTAGGCCCGCCGGCGCTAATCAGGGTACAGTATCCTTATAATCTAGATACTTGCCTACTATTACATGATACGTGGTTCATTGCCATATCTGCTATAGCTTACCAACTATACAACACCTACCATACTCGGAATTGGGTCTTCGGCCCACCCCTGAGGACGCGATCTTAGTCCTCAATATGGGGTACCCGGGTGCCACATACCTCACACTTTTTATGTTGGTTTTAATAGTTAGAGAGGGAGTCATTATTACGAATCAGATTCGACCCATATCTGAGGTAGCTAAATAGACTTTTTTTTCCTAATTCCACGAAAAACTTAAAGCCCATCTGAAATCGTTAGTTTTGCTCTTGCTCAGTTGCCAGGGCCCATCTGAAAAAATTTTAAAGCCCAAATAATATGGAGGCCTATTTCACCTGGTTTTGCCTCGTTCAACGCCACTCCCCTGCAGGACCAAACCACCACCGCCGCCACTTGTGCCACCATGCATCTCGATCGCCGCCTCTGACCAAGTCACCCTCCCACGCCCGCGCATCTCCCGCCGTCCACGCCTCCACGACGCCCGCCATCGACGGCATCCACCACCGCCACGTCCGCAACCGCGAAACCGCACTCGTACGTCCACTCCTATATAATCATCCCTCCTCCCCCCCGGCCGGAGAGATCACGACATCGACGGATCATCCAATCATCCAATCGCTGAGCTGAGCCAACTGTATTAGTGTTCGTCCATCTGTGACAGTTAGCAACAGAAGTAGTGTTGCTGCCATGGCCGGAGCAGCGCTGCTGTTCCCGGCTACCGTCATCGCCGCCGCCTGCGTCGTCCTCTCCGGCGGGGCGTCGGCGGCGCCGCCGGGGCGCGTGTTCGTCGTCGGCGGCGACGGGCCGAGGGGTTGGAGCCAGCCGACGGGCACCGACGAGACGTACAACCACTGGGCCTCCCGGAACCGCTTCCACATCGGCGATTTCCTCGGTGAGATCGATCGATCGATCGCCATTTCCATTACATATTGCTTGCTGCATTGCATTCGTCGTCCATGGTGGTGACATGATCGCGGCATTGTGTGTGTGTGTGAGTGTGCAGATTTCAAGTACGCCAAGAACGACTCGGTGGTGGTGGTGTCGCGCGCCGACTACAAGCTCTGCAGCGCCGACAAGCCGGTGCAGCGGTTCGACGACGGCGCCGACGTCAGGTTCCGCCTCGACAGGAACGGCAACTTCTACTTCATCAGCGGCGCGCCGGGCCACTGCAAGGCCGGCCAGAGGATGACGGTCCGCGTCATGGCGGACCACGCCGCCAAGGGCGCCGGCGGCGGCGACTCCCCGGCCGGTGCGCCGTCGCCCGACGGCGACGGCGACGACGAGGACGACAGCGGCGGGTCGTACCGCACGCCGGGGTACGGTTACTCGTCGGGGTCGCCGCCGACGCCGCCGCACGGGAATACCAGCGCCGCCGCCGTCGTCTCGCCGTCGCGTGGTGGTGGTGGTGGCGGCGGCTACCACCGCGTCGCCGGGGTTGCCGCCGCCGCGCTGCTCGTCTTGGCTTGAGATGCTGCCACGTGGCTACGTCTGCCGCTTAATTAGCTAGACTCAGTGATGTAGTTTGTCGTGTGCTTCTTAATTTAAACCTATCATATTAGCTAGACTGGTGATGTAATTTGTTGGCTGTTAGAAATGTTAAACCTGCTACTTAGTTTTCGTTAATTACTGGTACCGTACGTGGTGCATGGACGTCTCTGAGGGCCTTTTTTTTTCTTATTAACATACATAATTCGGTTCTTGTTACCACGACCTTTTAACTGTTAAACAATATGTTTTATGTAAAAATTTTGTATATAAAAATTACTTTGAAATATTAAATAATCAAAAAAATTAAATTTTAAATAACTAAAACTTAATTAATCATTTGCTAATAAATAATCGTTTTAAGCGCATGTACTTCGTTTTCATATGCTCTTATCTCGAATGCGGCTTGAGTCGTGATGCAGTGACACAAAAACTGTATTACATTATATCTTCTTACGTCATTTACTCTTTCCGTTCCATAAAAAATAATTATAATATTATATAGGACTCTCTACATCTATTTTTGATAGTCATATTTTCAAATCTGAAAAATTTATTTTTGATAGTAATATTTCAATTCAACAACCATCTTAATGACTTTCTCGGATTTAATGCATGACTCTTCATTCTTCCACACAACATTGGCTACATGGGCATCGAGAAATGTAAATATTAATGAATTGTTTGTTTACGAGGAATGACTAGTAGCATGTTTAAATGAATGATAAGTAGAGTTACTTACCCTTGGTCTGTGTGATAAGATGAAATATGACTATCAAAAGTAGATGGAGGGAGTATAATGAATGACAATACTTATGTAAGAGCTAGGTTGGTTTTTTTATTGGGGGCCTGTTCACTTTGATGCCATTTTCAATCTTACCAAATTTTGGTAAAGTTGTCAAAAAAGTGGTTACATTTAGTTTGCTGACAAATTTTGGTAACTTGTTAACGACCAAATTTGGTAAATTCTATCACTATTGGCATCGGAGATGAAGATCAGATCGAAGTGAAATCCAAGATGAAGATCTTTGCGGAGATAGAGTAAAAATCGGCTGCAGTCTAAATCGGCTAAGGTCAGGATCGGCAGAGTCCGAATTGGACGGGGCTAGCCGATACAGCCGATTCCGATAATATGACCCGGTGAAAGTCATTGGGTTCAAGTTGATCTGCTTCAAGGTGATTGCCATGCTTGGATAGAGTCCTGGGAAGGCGATTGTATCTATTAATTAGGATATTCTATGTAATTTCCTTAGAGATATGTTTGGGCAAAAGTCTGCCGTAAAGACTTATGGTATCTTAGAGTTTGTTAGAGATAATAGTCGTGTCCGTTATGGACGTATCTTGTAATCCTCGGGTATAAATAGACCCGAGCCCTATGTAAAAACAAGAAAACACATCCAATACAATCTCGGCGCATCGCCACCCTTTTGCTTTACTTTTATTTCGACGAGTTCGTGCTCTCGGGTTGAGCTGCATCGGTTTCGATCTTCAACAAGAGGTAAAACTTGTCATGACGACTTATGTTCTCAGGATTAGTGCTTCCATCTTTATGACACTCTAATCTTGTCTATATAATTCGTCGAGTTATCATATATCTCACATAGTCTTCGATAATATCTTTATCTAACCTATAATCGGCTAACATCTGCTAATGGAAGGCAGCCGATTAGGTTAGATAATGACGTTAACTTAGATTATGTGATATATCTACCACTCTATGAAACTTCCAGCGGCTTGATTTTCTAGATATTGTTCTTCTTTTCATACTTAATGCTGCATCAGTTGAGTTTGATCTATTAAGTCGTGCTTCAAATTGCAATCTCTAGCCTGCTTTCTGGTTGCCGATTAGGGTAGTATCGGAGTTTCAGTTGATCTTATCTAATTTAACTACTTTTATTCTATATGCTTGATTGACACGTTAAATCTGCCCTTTATTGTCGCGTCCCAAAACGACCCTAAAATATATCCTTTAAATTATGCATAGAATAATTAAAATCTGGGTGCAAGCCTCCAACAATTAAAATATGCAAAGTTAAAAGTCAAATAAGGCTTGGAGGATTTTTGTATATTTCCTAAAAGCCTAAAATGCGTAAATAAATTTTAGTGGAATTTTCAGAGCACAAATAATAATTATTAAGACATAAACAAAGTTAAAATGGTTTTATAAAAAGAAAAGCTCTAAAAAGTTCTTTCCCCCCCTCTTGGGCCGGCTCGGCCCATCTCTCTCCCTCTCTCTCCTCTCCCCCGCGGCCCATTCGGCCTCCTCCCCGCGCGCGTGCCGCTGACGGGCGGGCCCGCCCGCCACCCTCGCTGACGGGTGGGGCCCACCCGTCATCCCCTTCCTCCCGCCGCTCCCGCCGCCCCGCCCGCCCCCTAGCGCCGCCGCCGCCGCGAATCCCGCCGCCCCCGTCCTCCCCGCGTGCAATCAATAGGGGGGAAATATTCCCCGGGATCCCCTCCCCCTTTCTCCCCATTTTTTCCCTCTCTCTCTCTCCCTCGGATTCGTTTGGAAACTCCTCCCCTAACCTCGCCGGCGCCATTAATGGCGGCCGGGACTCCCGCGCCCGTTTCCCCCTCCTCCGGCCACCCCCTCTCTCTCCCAACCCTATATAAACCCTCCCCGTGCCTCCCTCCACCGTTTCCGCCACTCGCCGCCCTCTCTCCCCGCCGGAATCGAGCTCGCGCTGTCGCTCTCTCTCTCCGCAATCGCCGCCGAGCTCCGGTCCGCTGCCGTCGTCGCCCCGGACCACCTTCCCCCTCGGCGCCGCCTCCTTCGGCTTCGCCGCATCCTCGCCGACCTCGTCCACCCCTCCGTTTCGCTCGCCGACCGCCGGAGCACCGCCGACCCCGTCCACCCGAGCCGCGCCGCCGCCTTCCTCCGCTCCGGTCGCCGTTTCCGTCGTCGCCGTCGACCCGGGGTGAGCCGTGGACCGCCGCTTCGTTTCCCCCCTTCCTTCCCCTCTCTCGGCCGCCGCTCCGCCGTGCCTATGGCCGCTGCCGGCGACCATAGGGGCGCGGGCGCGCCGCCTCCCGTCGGCTGTGCCGGCGTGGCCGCCTTCGGGCGCGCCCCGCGGCTGCCGCGTGGGGCCCGGCCGTCAGCCGCCCGCGCCCTCGGGCGCGGCTGACGCGTGGGGCCCACGGCGCCGGCCGGTGCGAGCCCGTGTGCGCCCGGTCCACCGTGGACCGTGGGGCTGCCGCGTGGGCCCCACTCCCGTGGACCCGGTCCGCGCGCCCCTCCCCTCGGCTGACGCAATAAATCCATTTTTAAATTAAAATTTAAATGAAGAAATTCGCAAATATTCATTTAAAGAGCATATAAACTTCAAATGGCCATAACTTGGCCATTTGAACTCGGAATTGGACCGTTCAAGTCTCTAATTTTTCCTTAAGAAGTCAAGAACCCATTTTTGTGCTTTGTTCCTGCTTGTTATATGGAGTTTATTAGAGTAAAAGCCTTTTCTTTTCCGTTGGTCGTGTAGACGCTGCAGCTTCGGAAGATCCGCTCTTCGTGGAAGTTGAAGCCGACATTTGGGAAAGCGAGCAAGGCAAGTCACATCATCCTTGAACATATTGAATCCCGGTTTATAAAATTATTTTGATTTAAATTATTGCATTATCGCTTTATTTAAATTCCCGCGCTATCACTGTTTTATCTAGCCATGCCTATTTACCTTTGTTATGACCTTATTATTGTTATTGTTATTATTTCCTTGTTCACCCTAGAATAAACAAAACCCCAACTAGTGGACACTCTACTCATGGTATCACTAGCATGAGTTTAGGTAGATGGTACGCTGTTTAATTAGGTAACATTAGGTGGTTTTACAACTCTAGACTTTGGGAATTTTCTCATCACCTGGACACTATGGAATGGTTTAAATATTGTGGAATTGGATTCACACCGCCCCCCTCTATTCAGAATCCCCAAAATGGTTTTAGGCTGGGCTCGGGGTGCATGGTTTTGATAGTAGCACCTCGGCCATATAAGGACCGGTCTTCGGGCCTCTGTTGCAAAGCACTACCGTACTTCCACATGTCTAGTGGGTAAGGCTTAGTTTGTGGCTCAGTCTGGTTATAAACAAAAGTACACGGATGGAGATGGACGAAGTCGGGGGTCGATGGACATCTCTAGGACAAATGAAGGCTACACGAGCTGCGGCCCGGTAGTCGAGATGTCATGGCACAGGGCCGGTGTCCTGCTGCTAGGGGCTCAGTCCTGCCTACCTGTCCCGGGGGTTCCGGCCGTACGTGGGATTGGGTCGGTACTCTTGTCTATGGCTAGGATGGGTTGGAAACTATGTCACGTCTTCCGTCTGTATACCGTGGTGGTATGTGGCACGTGGTTACACGTGAGGAAGATGTGTCTTGTGGGTAAAGATGTACACCTCTGATCAGAGTATAATCTATTCGAATAGCCGCGCCCTCGGTTATGGGCAAGCCGAGCAATGTACCCAAGTTAGTGTTTTAATTCTTAAAACCTGCTTAACAACTAAAATGTGGAATGGATGGCCTGGGTTGGATTGGGACGAGCTGGGACCCAGGGTCGGGTTGCCAGTTCGGTCTGAATCATCAGAGGCCTTGGGTTAAGGCAGGCTCGTGTGGGTTCACGGCCTTGATTAATAATATTGTATAGCTCCAGGACCGTGTTTACAAAATAGCTTTGAGCAACTAAGTGTCTTTTAATGCTGTTTACTGCAAACCCTAACCCTTTATATTATAACCCCCTTGTACTCCCTTTCATTTATTCTGCACTTGTGGGTGTGACTTGTTGGGTACGGTGGTTGTACTCAGTCTTGCTCAATTTTTCCCAAACCCAGAAGAGGAGCTCCTGGAAGATGAAGGCTTTGGTTTCTAGCTCGTGCCTGCCGTCAAGCGCCTGATATTTGTCGATCGATGTACGCATGACATCGGCTTGAAATAAATGATATGTCATCGGCATCTAGCCGATCGGCTATCATTTATAGGATTAATTGCGGTTTCTTTGTTCTATCTCTTGTTGATTACAGGATCAAATCAACTGGCACGCTCATACATCCGAAGGCAAGCTTTGGACCTGCACTAGAGTTAAGCAGATCTCCCAGGCCTCGTGTTTTGTCACGACCGGAAATAACCCAACGGGCATTCCTTACGTGCGTGCATTAATCCTTGTCCC